TTAATTTCTTCTCACAATTGCATATTCTGTAGGGTGACATGCTATACTTAAGTCTAAAACTTTCTAAGTGATGTTTATCTTGATGTTATCTTAGATAATAATTATGTATGCCGTTTCTATTACCTCAAACCGGGAGACTTATATTTGGACATAACATATTTGTGCTTAACAAAAAAGTCACAAAGCACTTTGTCAAATAATTAAAAAAAAAAGTTAATGTGATCTGCCAGTGCCCAAATACTGGCTCCTAAAAACCACCAAAACAAAATCAAACCGGGAGACTTATATTTGGACATAACATATTTGTGCTTAATAAAAAAGTCACAAAGCACTTTGTCAAATAATTAAAAAAAAAAGTTAATGTGATCTGCCAGTGCCCAAATACTGGCTCCTAAAAACCACCAAAACAAACAAACAAACAAACAAAAAAAAACAGCACAATAAGCTGCCTTCATAGGTTACACATTTTAAACTGATACTTTAATTACCATGAAGATATTCAATGTTGAACTTTATTCATAAAATAAACGAAATAACATTCTTGCCATTATTTACTCGTTTCCCTATATTCAAAATCCGTCTATTTTTCCCCCTCAGAGGAAAACAAATTGAGATAACAGGCAGAATGACATCCCTTGTTTTGTCATTTGACTTTTACTAACGTTACATGGAAAATGAGTGAAAGTGAATAATGTCTGACACTGTCATTCTGCCAAACATCTCTTTTTCTATTGCTCAGAATAAAGCAAATCATATAATTCTGGAATAAAACGAGTGAGTAAATAACGACAAAAAATGACCTTTTTGAGTGAAGTACACTTTTAACATGACTAATCATCACTTTGTCAATGGATTGTATTTGTACTTTATCTGTCCACGGCCGTGAATTCATTCTTGCCATTATTTACTCGTTTCCCTATATTCAAAATCCGTCTATTTTTCCCCCTCAGAGGAAAACAAATTGAGATAACAGGCAGAATGACATCCCTTGTTTTGTCATTTGACTTTTACTAACGTTACATGGAAAATGAGTGAAAGTGAATAATGTCTGACACTGTCATTCTGCCAAACATCGCTTTTTCTATTGCTCAGAATAAAGCAAATCATATAACTCTGGAATAAAACGAGTGAGTAAATATCGACAAAAAATGACCTTTTTGAGTGAAGTACACTTTTAACATGACTAATCATCACTTTGTCAATGGATTGTATATGTACTTTATCTGTCCACGGCCGCGAATCGTCTAGCTAACGTTACAGTAAGATAAACAAGTTATTTGTATAATGCAAAACAGTTGAAGTAGAAAGTAAAGTGAAGGAAAACTAAAAGCAGGCGTATAACTAGCAAAAGAGTTAGCTGCAGAACATAAACTAAAATACACTTTAAAATATATTCGTGATAATTGCAAACTAATATTTAATATGCTCAGCCACACGTTCTGGACCATATGGGAGTTAAAATGACAAACAAACTACTTATTAGTCTTTCTACTTGCTGAACACTCGCTAGCACGGGACAGTTAGCATAGTAGGCCATTCAATGTGTGCAGAAACCTTTTAGTACAGGCTGAGTGTTTAAATTCAAACTCTTAGAACAAAGAAACTTTTAGGCATTATTAGACGGATACATAAGGGTGAATTATAAAGTCTCGGGCTTGTGTCGTGACGGAAAGCGTGTTGTTTTAGCCACGGCGCGAGCTAGGCTAAGCTAGCATTCCGAGCAGAAATAGTGTTGTAAAATGGCTCCCTCTCGACACCAAACCACCGAATAAACATTTCGATATACACCTACCTTTTGATCCCTTGTCTATCCCAATAAGTTAATCGAAGACAATGATGCACCGCTTGTCAAGTCAATTTGACAGCTTGGAGGTTGTCGTATTTCTGATTCTGTATTTTGTTTGTGTTTTTTTTAATCACACTCGTTCCGACTTTGCCAATCCATCTAACGTTAGCTTGTTCCTGTCTACTTCTGCACAGACGAGCTAATCGATCGCAGAGCACACCGCGGTTTTTTTTTACAGTCTATGGTCACAACATTCCCCCAGCTCAAGCCAGCTAGAGGATTTACTCACGAGAGGGCTTGACGCACACAGAGTGTGGACTTTTAAAGTTGTTTTCACTCTTTTTGCACTATTTGTGAAATATATTGAGTTAAATTGTTACAAAATATGATGTGAACAACATGGCAGACTGCGTGCCCTCCGGTAATGCAAACCTCTGCTACCAGAAATGGAACAATGGAATTTCACGCTTTGGTAGACTTCAAGTAACGCAAAAATAACCAGATGTGTGTGTATAAACTTAATAGACTTTCCGGAAAATGCACACACATCTATGTGAACGTAATGTGTGCAAAGCAAACAGATGAATCGTGTCTTTCCTGTAAGTTATGTGAAGTAATTTACATTTACAATACAATAATAGGTATCACTGAAACAGTAAACTCTGATTTTGCATTTAACATTTATGATGTGTCATTCAGTCAATAATCACTCACACATATTTGAAAAATGTATTAAAATTGAACAAAATGGATGACCCATCAAAACCCGAATGTCCTTGAGTGACCACGTTAGAACAAGACCATTACATGATCCAGAGATTTGAACTTGCTTCCTCTGACCCTTAAAAATAAAAATTTGCTAGCAATAATAATTGTTATTTAAATAAAATATGAATAAAACGTTAATTTTATAATTTACGGTGTATGTATTTGTGCTTTTTTGTTGTTCAGACTACATAATTGTATTACATTTGCATAAAATTTGAATAATCATATCTGATAGCATACAATTATATGTTTATATGATTATATTTGCATAATAGGCTTGAATTTAAATAGCAAAAGAATGGATTTAAATAAATAAATAAGTTTTATATTTCTGTATTAATTTTCAGTCAGACCTAACTCCAAACAATATTTGGCATTTAAAATTTTTTAACATTTTAAAGTATAGCTTTAAACTGCTGTTGTTTTGCAACATTCCATTCCCATGAGACTCCATCCTATCCATAAACGCATAGTGTAGCTTTTTTTATATAATTATTGGTATGCTAAATTGTATATAATCTAACCCTGCGTCTCAATGTTCATACTATCCAGCCTAAATAGTATGTGAGATCATTAGAATAAGTGTGTCCCAAAGTATAGTATGTAAAAAAAAGAGTATGCCAAAAGTCCCCGGATGGTCTACTATTTCAGGTCGATTTTTGAAGTGTGGATCCGTGCACACTCTAATGGCTAATATTGCCCACAATCCATTGCGCTTTGGTGAAGGATTCGGTCCAGAACTACAAACACGAATAAAACGCGGTAAAAATACAAACATGGCAGATGTGCGCGACCGGCGGTTAGGTAGAGAGGCTTATGGTGAGTTCAAGTCATGTCAGATAGATCGTATTTACGAGTTGAACGCACAACGCCACCACAAAGTCGTTATTACTAGTGGGGAAACTCGAAATTTTCTTTATTGCTGCGTTCAAGTCCTCCTGGGACGTTAGTATTTACGAGGTGACAAGTCGTAATTACGACGTCAGGTGCGTTCAAGTCAGTTTAGTCGGCACAAGATGGCGGTGTACCTTCTTTTAATTAATTACAAGAAAATACAACAGGGTCTGTTATCTCTGCTTATAGAAAATGAAAAGCAAAGAATTCGCATCAGGTGTCTTTTGCGGTTTTAATCTTTTTAAAAAGTAATTTATGAAGCCACTTTAATCTGTATTGCATAAAAACTTGTTATTGTTATATTACAAAACTCAATTTAAACAAAAATGTACCGTCAACTACAGACGTTGCATCCATCGATTCCGCCATGTTACTCATTGACACGCCCCCAATTAGGAAACTCGGGGCTTAAAGAAAATTTCGAGTTTCCCACTTGTAATAACGACTTTGTGGTGGCGTTCATGTGCGTTCAACTCGTAAATACGATCTATCTGACATGACTTAAAAGCACCATAAGCCCCGAGTTTCCGGGGTGGGGGCGTGTCAATGAGTAACAAACTTCCGTAGGACTTTTATAGGAACATTCTGGGCTTTTTCGTGTTATGTTGTGTCTGGCTTCGCATCGCCACATGCCTTGTAATGACCTTCTGCTGACAAATAAAAACTCCTCGTTTTATTTTACGACAATATGATATTAAATCAAGGCATGTTTTCATTATTTCTTTGACCGTTTACTGTCGAATATGTTTCTGACAGATAAGCACAGTTTATTCTAGGTGCACAGTTAGCATGCTAGCTTTTGTAATATATAATTCAGTTCTGCGGCTTAACTTTAAACGGGTCTGATTCAGACAGCACTGCAATGACTGTCCTCAAACAGATGTTTAATAATGTTTTATTATTATTTGAATTGCAGGTAAAATGTTGGCAAGTATAATCGGACGTCACATTCTTCGTAACTTTGGGGTGAGTGAAACATTTAACCAAATAAAGAGACTTTGATTTAACCCATCTGGTTTTGTTGCACTCTCTATTTTATTTTACTATTTTTTTTTAATCTTATGAATAACGGTATTCTGTTACCTCGTAATAGACCTTTAACACGTGATGTATTCTCCAGTGTTTATGGGAATTCTCATCAATACGTAATTGTTTTAGCTGACATTTCTTTCCTCCCTATTAACAGGGAATGCAGTGGAGTGGCCTCATGCAGGTGTCCAGGAAGTTTGCCTGTTTAGGGCAGCGGACCACTCACTGTTCAACACTGTTTACTAGAGGTTTATATGGACAGCTGCCCCCAAGACATGTTGCTGGTTCTGTTTTGGGAGCCCAGCTTGCATCCATCGATTCCGCCATGTTACTCATTGACACGCCCCCAATTAGGAAACTCGGGGCTTAAAGAAAATTTCGAGTTTCCCACTTGTAATAACGACTTTGTGGTGGCGTTCATGTGCGTTCAACTCGTAAATACGATCTATCTGACATGACTTAAAAGCACCATAAGCCCCGAGTTTCCGGGGTGGGGGCGTGTCAACGAGTAACATAAACTTCCGTAGGACTTTTATAGGAACATTCTGGGCTTTTTCGTGTTATGTTGTGTCTGCCTTCGCATCGCCACATGCCTTGTAATGACCTTCTGCTGACAAATAAAAACTCCTCGTTTTATTTTACGACAATATGATATTAAATCAAGGCATGTTTTCATTATTTCTTAGACCGTTTACTGTCGAATATGTTTCTGACAGATAAGCACAGCTTATTCTAGGTGCACAGTTAGCATGCTAGCTTTTGTAATATATAATTCAGTTCTGCGGCTTAACTTTAAACGGGTCTGATTCAGACAGCACTGCAATGACTGTCCTCAAACAGATGTTTAATAATGTTTTATTATTATTTGAATTGCAGGTAAAATGTTGGCAAGTATAATCGGACGTCACATCCTTCGTAACTTTGGGGTGAGTGAAACATTTAACCAAATAAAGGGACTTTGATTTAACCCATCTGGTTTTGTTGCACTCTCTATTTTATTTTACTATTTTTTTTTAATCTTATGAATAACGGTATTCTGTTACCTCGTAATAGACCTTTAACACGTGATGTATTCTCCAGTGTTTATGGGAATTCTCATCAATACGTAATTGTTTTAGCTGACATTTCTTTCCTCCCTATTAACAGGGAATGCAGTGGAGTGGCCTCATGCAGGTGTCCAGGAAGTTTGCCTGTTTAGGGCAGCGGACCACTCACTGTTCAACACTGTTTACTAGAGGTTTATATGGACAGCTGCCCCCAAGACATGTTGCTGGTTCTGTTTTGGGAGCATTTCACTGGTCTGCACATAGACTGAAGAAACGTCCTCAGGAAGAGAGCTGCTACTTGTAAACAAGGACAAGTGTTTCCTAATTTGGGGCACGAGTGCAAAAAAAATGGTTGAAAATTTTATTTATTTGAATGTGTTTTCTCCATTTTGCAGATCTAATAATTAAGTTAAATTATAGTAGTTAATTTGGTAGATGCTTTTATCCAGAGTGTTTGTGTAATATAATGTGTAATAATATAATGTGAGTGATTCATCCTAGTGAGGCTGTAAAATGAGATGTGATGCAATGCATTGTTCCAAGATTGTTCCGATAAGTACAGACTAGGCTAAAGTGAGAAATAGTGTCTCTAACCCTCTTAACACTTGCACTCTCTATTCTAACTGCTTTTTCTTAAAAAAAGGGCCTCTAACACTAGCCTTATCTATTCTTTTTCTATTCTATCTACTTCTTTTTTTGTTACGTGTATAAATATAAGTGTGTGTGTATTAGGCTAACCCAGACTTGTCATAGCACTTGCATATTATTGCTCTTTTGTTGGTTTTGATTGCTTCTATTGTCATCATTTGCAAGTCACTTTGGATAAAAGCATGCTAAATGACTAAATGTCCAGGATTTTTTGTTTTTTATGTTATCAAAAGGTCAACCTTGTGTTCACTCTGGTATTTTTGCATGTTTTTCCCCCATACCAGTCACATTGTAGTAAGAGGAAGTCAGTTATTCAGTTAATGTTGCTCTGTGTTTTAAATGATGAGATCATCAGGGGAGTGGTGCATTTCAGGTGAGCTATCCGGTTTCTTTTTAACCTGACCCAGTTGAGTGCAGTGATCATCTTTTTTGCACTTTTGTTAAGTAAAAATCATGTGTTTCCATGTATTATTATTATTATTTTTTTAATGAACAGTGTTGCATGACTTCTAAAAGTGAAAGTGGTATAGGTTGCAACTTGGAATACAAGATGTATGTAGTGTACAGTAAACTGACCAGTATTTTAAAATATTTTAAAGTGAGGTTCCAAAATGTTTTTTTTTTTTGGCAATGCCATAGAAGAACCATTTTTGCGTTCCCCAGAGAACCTTTCAGTCAGACGTTCTTAAAAGAACCATTTTTTTTCTTAGTGTGCAGAACACATTTAAATATTTTACTTTTTTTTTTTAAAGAACATTTTGTACAGTGAAAAGTTCTTTATGGAACCATCAATTCCGTTAAATAACCTTTATTTTTAAGAGTATAAGATTTTTTGGGGAAAATGTTTTTATTGATGCATTAATCACCCTGCAGTAACAATTGATTTCCACCATGCCAGAAAATTAAATTGAGCCCTGACAGAAAATCTTCTCCCATTGAGAGAGAGAAAGAAATCCAGGCTTTAGGATTATAGAAGTCTGGACGTGGATTTTAAATTATGATTATAGTTAAGGCATTTAGTTTTAACAAAGAGGGTCCACTGTTCAAGTGATTGGTATTGCCATGAACTCCACTGCACCCTCTTGATTCTCTCTTTTGAATACTCTCCATGTGCAGTAAAGCATTTTATCCAATCCTATTTTACTATAATTCAGAATTGGAATGCACAACTTAAGAGGTTTGGCTCATGTTTGTTCACGGGCACAGTTTTTTCCCTCTTTTAACCTTTCGGTGGTGAGCTAAACATCTGTGGGATTCAGCTTTGGTTTAGGAGTTCCTCTCCCCGGTAACTGTTGAACCACTTTATTGTAAAAGTCCTTTGACCAGCAAAAGATGGCTTGGACTGGTGCAAAAAAGCAGTTACGTAAGCAACTCCCAACCCAAATCAGCTTTTCATCCTTGCATTTACTTGCATAAATATTTTTGATCATTTGAAAGATGAGCTGACATACCCGGACTTGGTTGGATAATGGAAAATGGGTTACAACATGTTGTTGATGTTACTGAAGACTAATTCCCTTTTGGCATGTAAGCTCTATGCTTAACATTTACACTGAAATGAGGGCTAAAATAAGCAAGCGCTGTACTGTGAGCCTGTTTACATTGCTGTTGAGAGCTTTCTGTCTGTCCGATGTTGCATCTGCATCACTAGAGAATAGGGCTGTAACGATTTACTCAACTCACGATTCGATTCGATTCACGATTTTGATTTCACAATTTGATTCGATTCACACATTTTTTTAACAAAATGAGATTTAAGACAAATTATACTGTAAATTAAATGTGTCATTTTATTATTGCTTGGACAAAATGCTGCATGTTTCTTTGTGAAATATAACACTATAATAATATAGCACTTGTACATTATTGCCCTTTTGTTGGTTTTGATTGCTTCTGTTATCCTCATTTGTAAGTCGCTTTGGATAAAAGCATCTGCTAAATAACTAAATTTAAATATAATGTAAATGTAAATAACAAAACTAAATATAAAATTTAAAACAAGCCCCAAATAGATAAGTAACACAAATAAAATAAATCTCTTCATATAAACAAAATAAGGCTTTGTCTGTGCTTTTTCCGTTTAAAATTAGAGGCAACAACTGCAATTTAATCATGATCCAAACAAAGATGCTGCACACATGCAACATGAGCAGTTTTTAATCTAAATTATATTGTATAATTTTGAAATTTGAAGCAAAAACAGAATGGTTTGACTTCAGTTTTGTGAAACTATACAGAAAATCTGCATGAAACAGAAACGGCAGACGAGCTGAATGAGACTGCAGATTCACTCTCTGCCAGCAGGTGGCGCTTAAAGCGTTTTCTTGGTTTCCGCTGTAAACAAAGCAGCACTGAACTTATGAACTCTAATATGCTTTATGAGGCAAGATGAAAAGAAAAAATACCACCTAAACTTTTCTAAAGACCGTAAGTTCCCCTCAGAAATTCATTCATATAAACTCCTACCCCTAATTGAATCGCGATTTGTTTAGCATCTCAACCGATTTGAATCGTCACCTATTTGAATCGATTTTTAACCGGCTCGCGGTTAATCGTTACATCCCTACTAGAGAATGCTCCAGATATACCCACCAATTAGTTTACAGTGTCAAGTGACATAGCCTTGAATACTTCTGTCTTAGGTCATTAGAGAGCATTTAGATTATCCTTTAACTCCTAGCCTTTATGATAGGGTGAATCAATAACTGGGAAATTACTTCTGTGTATTTAATGAGTCAGTGAAGGGTTGCATCTAGAGCTACAATGAAGCAAAAGGAAAAGAAGTTGTCACTACTCAACTCATTATGCAGAACTATCATTTAATAGGTCATGGCAACCTGACCAAGAATGTTTATCTAGTTTGAAATCCAATTAAAATCAAGAGTTTTCATATTCACAAATTTTTGATGCTGACTCGGAGAAGAAAGTGAGATCATTGTCCCTCCGCTGCATGCAGTTAGTCACACAGCAGGGGTGTTTCAGTTCGTCTCACTCTGCTGTGCTCAGCCTTTATTTTAGAGTTGTTCGTTGGTCTCTGCTCAACTGAATTGGATCATTTAAAGACCGCATGAAATTAAAATAGGAAACTGTGGTCTTTAGTATAGCTCTATTAACATAATTTGAGGCCATCAATATGCTTGTTGTGCACTCTCATAACTTGACAGTTACCCTCCTCTTATTCACCACGGTTGAATGAACAACGAATGCAAGATTATATACACAAACAAATCACAGCCAATATGTCTGAAAGAAAAGTAGTATTAATAATTACTTAACAATTACAAACTAATTATTTCAGACATTTTGTTAATAATCATCCATTTTACACACATAGTTTAAGAGACATACTTAAAAAAGGTCATTTTCACTAGTTTCATAGTTTTGATTAGAATATAACACGTCCAATCCTGCGGTTGCATATGGTCTGGCCACAGAGTGTCATATTTGAACACATCTGAAGCAAACATTGGACTCAACAATTCTGCATATGCATGTTACCAGAAGTCCACTCAGCTCCTGTAATACTTTCAATTATAACTGAATGACTTCTGATCTGTTCTTTTTTGGAGATGGTTGAAAGGCAACTTGATTTCAAAAAACAATTATAGCATTAACAAAAACTGCAGTATAATTTCATCCCTAGTTGTAATGCAGTTCCGTCTCCTGCATGGCACTGATGACTGAGAGTGTCTTCAAAGGGAGGTAAATTATCTCTAGATCAGATACTTTTTCAGTGTTTTTTTTGTATAATTAGATGTTGTTTCCTCTGAGTCCTTTATCAGATGTGCAAATTAGGCATGAAAACAGTGACAAATGCCACTGACTGCACTCTACAGTCATAAATGACAGGAAATTACTGATCCATTTATGAGCCCTGAAATTTTATGGCACCGCTTTAGTACCACCGACCAGTCCAAAAACACATCACAAAAAGCCTCTCTGTTCTGTGCAGATGTTTAAGATGTTGAATGTGATCAATAAACAAAAGAACCCAACTGTCTTTTTTCCAGCCGTAGCATATGAATAGAAAATAGTGAAGCATGCATTGTTTTTGCTCGTAGCGGTGCTGTCTGATCGTGAGATGATGCTGGTGGTGTTACTGACAGGGTGACCTGAGAATATATCAATGCGCAAGGCTGGGATTACTGGAGAATAGCATTGTAACATGAGGTAGGTCAGAAGAGGAGAAAGAAGCAGGAGCCTGTGTATGTACTAGGGAATATGTCAGAAAAACAGCTGTTTTAATGCACTGGAAAGCACTTTGGCTGTTCTACCAGTCACTAGAGAGGGGAGTGGTTCAATATTTTGTTGTGTAAGGGGCAAAGAGCAATTGAGTAAGTAGAATCAGATTTTTCCTTGTCATACGGAAACCACTGCAATACAAAGAAATAAGGATTAAATTTTTTGGCAAAGTGAGTGTCTCTTGTTCATTGATACCTTTCACCTCCTTAATAGGATCAGTAGTAAAAAAACATTCTGGCATTCTTGGCTTTCCTGCTGTACAACAACAGGAAAGTGACAATTCACACAACTGCATAGTGTTGTCATGTTACTTAAATTTCAATCGTTTATACCAGTGCTCTTAAACTGTCACTTTAAAACCACAGCAAAAATATTGTCTGTATTGACTGGAAAG